ATAATAATAATAATAATAATAATAATAATAATAATAATAATAATAATAATAATAATAATAATAATAATAATAAATATCATCGTCATCGTCATCATCATATTTAATACTTGCAATTTAGAACTTGTGGGGCAAACCTAATTATCAGATTAATTAAAGATTAGAAATTTCTAAAAATTATAAAATGAATTAATTAATTATTATTTATTACCTACCTTTAAACATATTGGAAGTTCCACGAATAGAAGAATAACTGCAATAACCCTAAATATAAGTAAGATATTATTCTAATTGAATTCTTTTGATTAATTATAAAAAAGCACAATATTTATGATATTTATAATTAATTACCAAGCAATTATACTAAATATCACATTAGAAATAAAAGCAATTCCTCCAAAAATAAAAAGAACTAAAGAATCAAATTATTTTTAAAAGATTAATGATTAATTTTACACCGATTGATTAAGGGAATTGTAATGTTACTTACGTAGTATGGAAAGAAGTCCAAACCTACAAATTTTTATAAATAAGAGAAAAATTCAAAATTATTCTCTTTGAAATTAAAAAAAACATCTCAAAACTAAAATGTAATCTTTACCATTGACCATAAATCGAAAAATTCCTGGATTTCAATTCTTCAACAATTCCCATTCTTATAACTAATGGTTTGTTTATTTATTATAATATTTTATTCTTTTCTTTTAATAACAACAAAAACAACAAAATTATAGTTTGTTATTGATTGATTGATGATTATCTAATATTTATTTATAATTCCAATTTCTTCACAAAAAAAAGCCTTTTACCTTTTATTATAATAAGTATTGTTGATCAATAATTTACAATAATTTGTTCATTTTATTCATTATATATTCATTTATGAAATTGAGAAAAATAAAAATAGAAGAAAATTTTATTAAAGAAAAATTAAAATTTATTATTATTAAAAATGTTCTGTTAATAATTATATATTCTTTATTTGTCTTGGCTCGGAAATTGTATATTAATATTACTTAATTAAAATTATAAATAATACCAATTTATACGATCAATTAATTATTCGTTACTATTAAAATATAATATTTATAATTATCAGTATTAACATTGCAGTAGGTAAAATGATCTTGTAATTATTATTTTTCAGCAAGGTTTGTCCTGAATTTGTTGCAATACTAGGCGTTGTGGGTGACGGTGACGGTGATGTTGTCTGTGATTGTTGTTGTGGTTGTGGAGGATCAGGTGTTGGTTCGTTGGCTGGTGGATTTGGTGGTGGATTTGGTGGTGGATTTGGTGGTGGATTTGGTGGTGGATTTGGTGGTGGTTCGTTGGCTGGTGGATTTGGTGGTGGATTTGGTGGTGGATTTGGTGGTGGATTTGGTGGTGGATTTGGTGGTTGATTTGGTTGTTGATTTGGTTGTGGATTTGGTTCTTTGGCTGGATTTGGTGCTGGTTCTTTTGGTTGTGGATTTGGTTGTGGATTTGGTTCTTTGGCTGGATTTGGTGCTGGTTCTTTTGGTGGTGCTGGCGCATTTGGATTTTCAGGCGCTGGTTGATCTTTTGGTGCTGGTTGATCTTTTGGTGCTGGTTGATCTTTTGGTGCTGGCGCATTTGGTGGATTTTTGGCTGGTGGTTTTGGATTTTCAGGTGCTGGTTTATCTTTTGGTGCTGGCGCATTTGGTGGTTTGTCGGCTGGTGGTTTTGGAATTTCAGGTGCTGGTTTATCTTTTGGTGCTGGCGCATTTGGTGGAGCTGGTGGTTTTGGATTTTCAGGTGCTGGTTTATCTTTTGGTGCTGGCGCATTTGGTGGAGCTGGTGGTTTTGGAATTTCAGGTGCTGGTTTATCTTTTGGTGCTGGCGCATTTGGTGGAGCTGGTGGTTTTGGAATTTCAGGTGCTGGTGCTGGCGCATTTGGTGGATTGACAGCTGGTGGTTTTGGAATTTCAGGTGCTGGTGCATCAGGCGGAGCTCGAGATTTCAGATCCTTTGCTGTTTTTGGTTCATTTTGTGATTTAGACACTGGTTGAGGATCGGGCAGAGCTCGAGGTTTGAAATGTGAACATTGAAGGCTGTTTATCAATTCATCATCATTAACATTTAAAATGGTTGAAAATGAATTAATTATCATAAACGATAAAATTATCAAAATTAATAATTTCATTTTTATATTTTTTTTTCATAAAAGTTTTATTTTTTTCTTTTAAAGTCGAGAGGAAATTTTTGCTATTTATTAAAAATTAAAATTATGTAGACTTAATTTTTTTATATTTATAGATATTTATCTATCTTTGTAATTATTTATATATTCTTGATAATAAAAAATAAATGGAAAAAATAAATTTATCGAAAAATAAATCTATTAAAAAACAAACGTGTTTAGACATTTTTTACCTTTAAATTCTTAAAATAGAAACATATTTAAAGTGTTTCACCAAGCAAAATTTAACGCAGGGATTTCATAACTTATTCTCCTTTTACTAACACACCAATAATGATTTCCCATTTTTTAATTTTCAAATGATTTGAATATTAAGACTTTAAGGAAACTACAACTACTATCACTTTCGATAAATTAAACTTTGCTACTTATTATTGTGTCCTTTATTGTTGTTGTTATGCATCGGCCCCTGGTATTACGACTGGTGACGGTAGATTACACTCTTTAATTCATTTATGTGCATATTTTTGACTTTGTCCTGTCTCTTTATCATAAACAGGGAAAACCTATCTTGTCGTTGTACGATGACATAAGTTTAGATAAAAGAAGTGATTCATCATCTATCTTTATCGAAATTCTATTTTCAAATAAACCACTATCCAAAATTGGGATGAGCGCTTTATATAACCTGTATTTTGAAACTATGAAATATTAAGAGTTAGAATATCGGCAGGCGGTTTACTGATAGCAAAGATTTAAAATTTATTTGCTAACGAAGGAATATTCCAAGAATTCTTTGCATTCCTAGCTCAGGGGATAAAAATAAAGAGCAAATTGTTATTTTTAAAACTCTATTAAAAGACAATTTAAACGTGGCTCATTTCTATGGTTATAAATATACGATTAGTTTTATCAAAAAATAATTAAAATAAACCTTAGCTAATATTGTAAAAGAAAAACTCCCTCCAACTCATATCTCCTGCATAAATCTAATCGAGTCCATTCATGTAAAGTGGTAATTAAAGAACTCAAGAATTCATATTAGTTATTAGTATTAGTATTGGTATTGGTATTGGTATTAGTATTAGTATTAGTATTAGTATTAGTATTGGTATTAGTATTACAGCCAGCTCAAGTCATCAGGTCCCGACCAATTTCATGGAGCCTGTCATGTAGCACGAACTTCATAAATTAGTAAATATCTAATTATAATAATGATTGTCCTGATCCATTTACAAAGAAAAAAACTCCGAAAGTTGTTCTTTATGATAATAGGAATGAAAGTGACAATAATAACGATGAAGTAATGATAATGATAACAAATCAAGTAATGAAAGTAATAATAAATCAAGTATTGCTCGAGTCACCTGTAACTTTAAAAATCTATCTCACAACACTTCGTAGATTTACATATGAAAAATTTTGTGGAAACTATCTATTAATAATATTAATGTTTAAATTTTTTTTTCCCACATTCTGTTAATCACATGATTTTTATTGTATATTAATATTAATATTGCCTACGCCTTACTATTATAAAAATAAAATTCATTCATATTTTAATATAATGGATCCCAATCAATATTTAAACAATATTCAGCTTCCTTTTTACACAATTCTTAATAAAGAAACTCTTCTACAGCTTATTTAGAAGAGGTCGAAAATTCAATACTACATAATAAAGTCTTTATTAAAGATTTTAAATATATGTAATTTTTTTTCTCTTTCGGCACCATTTAAAATTTCTGAATGATAGATTTCCTTACATATTACAGTGCGGGTCATCTATATTCAAAAGTTAAATACTATGTGATCCACATGTTGGATTTTTAAAAAAACCGCCACCATTCAATTCAGGTTTAAAAGAAGTCAATTCATGTAAAAAAAATTTTTCTCATTTTTTTCCATGATTTTTTAAATTTGAGGGTAATGCAATAAAAATTTTCATGTTACAATATTTTGAATTGCATGACCAACTTAATAATGATTTTCTTTTGAAGTAATATGTTCGTTAAACTTTTTTATTGTAAAGAACTTTTATTATTAATAAAAAAAGAAAATAAATAATACAAATAAACCAATATATTAATATTAATATTAATATGTTGTAGAAAATATTTTACGAAAAAGTTTTTGTTACACGAAAATTTGTTAAAAAATTTTTGGTATTTTGAAGCTGACAAATTGTTCATTGTATCTTTTATGGATGGGATCAGCACTAAGATTCGTAAAGTGGTACAATGATATAGTTAATATTAAGCATTTTTTTGAATTTCTGAATTTGAGGAAATGAAAAGGTCGAAAGCAATAACTTTAAGAATTAAAAATACACAAGGTCAAACTATAGTTGGAGTACTTGAAAGAAAATTTGATGAAATTAATCGAAACAAACTTGGAATTATTTGTCATGGAATTTTAGGTTAGTTCTGTAAAAAATAAACGCATATATAGTAATAATGTAATATAATATATTATATTTATGATTCAAATACTATTATTTGTGTAAATATATAGAACATAAGAATTATATATATCAAGTAAAGTTAGCCAAAGTGTTACCATTTGATACATTTCGATTAGATTTTCGTGGAAATGGAGAAAGTGATGGAGTACCCAAATTTTCAAATATTGAAGAAGACGCAGAAGATATAACTACAGTTTATAAATACTTGGAAAAAGTATATGGTTATTCATTATACACATTAATAGGACATTCAAGGGGTATTTTCATATAACTTTAATTGTATCGTTTATTTATTTATAGGGTATAGATATTAATTTATAATTAATAATTAATAATAAAGGAGCACTAGCAGCGTTATATTATGCATCAACTATAAATTTAAATATTCCATATTTGGTGCTAATATCAGGACGTTTTAGGATGCAAAGTTTAATCCAACGATTTAATAATGAACAGTTGAGAGATTTGGAGAAAAAAGGATGGACTAACTGGACTTCAATAAAAAATGGTAAAGGTTTTGCAATGAAAATTACCAAAAAAGAATTTGATCATTGGATAAATTGGGATACTACTACTCTTGGCAAGTAAATAATTATACATGATAGATTGATAGATTTATTTAAACATGTAATAATTTAAATTTCAATAAAATAAATTTTTTGATAGCTCAAAGAATTCCTAACTCAACATCTGTACTAGTGATTCATGGAACAGCCGATGAAGTATTTTTTTAATGTTTTTCATTTTCTTTCTATAATAAAAACCATTCAAAGTTTTATGATTTAGTCAATTGATCATTTTGATGTTATATAATAGGTAGTACCAGTTGAAGATTCAGCAATCTACAATAATATAATTCACAATAGTACACTAAGGCTGATATCAGGGGCTACACATAATTTTACAAGGCATAAAAAAGAAATAGTTAATATTATCAATAAATATTTTTCACAAGAATATCAATCTTTCAACTTTTTGTATAAAAATCAATGGATCAGTCATATACCTAGATACATTCGAATTGATGGTGTTAGCAATTTTAGAGATTTAGGTGGATATAAGTGTAATAGTAATGGTAGTGTTGGTATTGGTATTGGTATTGATGGTGGTTACAATCACGATTGTTATATTAGAGAAAGATATGTTTTTAGATGTGGAGAGTAAGTAATGTAACATAAGCATTATAATATATAAATTTACTTGTATATAAAATTTCATATATTTAACTCGATCATTTATTTATTTATTAGCATTTCTTCAATAACAGAACAAGGTATATTAACGTTGCATAAATTAAATATAAAACAAATATTTGATCTAAGATCAAATCCTGAAATCAAAAAATTTGGCATTAGGTAATATATCTATAATCTATCAATCAATATGTCACAATATATATATATTAATGATTATTGTTGTAATTATTTAGAGAAATAGAAGGTATAAAACGTACACATGTCCCAGTATTTAAAGAAATAGATTTTTCACCTCAAGAAGTATATGAACGATCAAAATTATATGTGAATGGATATGTTGGTTATGCAAAAGGTAACTAACTGAACTAGCTGACCACTAATTAACATATTAATAGTATTATGTATTTCTAGAAATTATGTATGATACTAATAATAATAGTAATATTATTATTGGTATATTATTGATAGCATATTTAGCAATTCTGGAAGAAGGCAAAGAAGCATATCGTCAAATATTTTTAAATGTGTTGAATAAACCAGATATTCCATTTGCAGTACATTGTAAAGCAGGTAAAGATCGTACAGGAGTATTTGCAATGTTAATATTGAAATTATGTGGCATAAATGATGAAATTGTTGCTAGGGAATATGAAATAACTGATTTCAATACCAGAGGTAATGTGTAATGTATATGTGTTGATGTAACCATACTATATATTTTTATATATTATAAATTTATTAATTGATTAATATATGTGTGAACATTTCTTTTCTTCCATCTATCATACACTCTTTTTTTCTCTCTTACTTCTTCAAGGCATTAATACCCAAAAATTCAAATACTATGACAAATATACTGACAGTTACTATAATGAAGAAGAAATTAGATCAATGTTATCTGCAAGGTAAACAACTAATTCAAATAACCAAAATTAATCTGTTAAATCTACCAATTTATTAAAAATAATATATATATATTTCTGACTATTTAGATATGAATCAATGATTTTAACTTTAAAAGAATTTAAAAAAAAATATAAATCAGTAGAAAATTATTTATTAGAATGTTGTAATTTCAGCATACAAGAAATAGAAATTATAAAAAATAATTTAATAATTAGAAACATTAATAATGATGGTATTTGTATCAATAGTGATTCGGCTGGATTCATTAAATCTCTATTGTAATTGATTTATTTAATTATGCATCTTATTTCTTTTGTTTATTTATCAACTATTAATTGTTGAATGAGACTAACTAACCTCTGAATGAACAAAATGAAATGGTTCATAATTCAATGGCACTGATTTAAATAGAATTAAAGTTATAGGAATATTAATAATAATAAGAAAATTAAATTATAAATTATTTTGATTTTACATCTGGGGCATGCTGCAACAAAACCAGACAAAGTGAACATTGATGTTACCAAAATTTTCAGAGGTCAATAATTGGGGTGTTATATATAAGTATCCCTTAAACAGTTAATAGCCAATAAAATTTTTCTGATATATAAAGTTTCCTCTAAGCATATCACTTCCTAATATGAAAATGATCTTGAGATATAGCTGATCAGGTCTGCAAAAAAATTTCGGTGTTGTCCTTGTGGTTTTATACAATTTTCTTTAAAAGTTGGCCGATTTGACTTTTTTACTTGGACGATCATTAAATTGACCAATAAGAATGTGAGGTCGTGATTTCGTGTTACCATTAAAGAATACTCTGACCGTTTAAGGGTAGAGTTCGGTTACACAATATATCATATGGAAATGGATGGCAAAAATGTGTCGATCATTTGAACAAAAA